CTATTCCAGCAGGGAAACAGAGCTAGTTGGAGCAGGCCTGGAATTTATGAAAGAAAAAGGGAGCTTGTACTATTCAAAACTCTCCGCATTGACTGACAGTTCATATTGACCAACACTGACAATCTATCCAGCCTTTTTGTTGCATATTCTGTTAATCCCCGATTATAGAATCTGGCCTCCTTTCTTGCTTCCTTCACTCAATGGATTTAAAGTGGTCTAAACAACTCTCTCACAATGTCCAGAACAGTTAAAAACCACTAGCAAATCTCTCCCCCTGCTTAGATTATCATTGTCGCTTATCCTTCCTCTAATCCCTCTCCCCACTTGTATATCACTCAGTTTCCAGTTTTGAGCAAGATGTTGCTGATCTCCTTAAAACCACTGTCATGACTGCTTTTTACATCTTCCTCCTCACCACCCTATTTTTAAAGCCTGTTCAGTTGACTGTGAAAGAAGCTGCTCATGGCTGCAATACACCAAATCTGCAGCTTTGAGCTCCTAAAGCCCCAACATTCAGTGGAAAAAGAAAATAAAGTTTTATTTTGTTTCACGCTTGCTTGTTTTGTTTCAAACCTGTGGCACAATATCCCTCTGGCTGAGAAGCAGCATTCTGCATTCTTTAGGCAGGGAAGAAATCCAGTCACGTTGGCTCCAAGGATGTCTTTCAGTGCTTCTTAAAACATTAACAACTTCCCAGTGGGGGAGATGCAGCACTCTAGGGGACAGTGTGCATCTTCCAAGTCTCTCAGGCCTTTCAAACTCAGAAGCAGCTGGAGTAAATTAGCACAAGAAGCTCCTTATGAGACAGGACTGTACAAGGCAGATTCAGGAATAAGGAACAAATAGCAACTGAAATCTGCAGGTTATGGATATCCTAATCCCACACAACAACTGTATTCCCTGAAAAAGATCCTGGGGGCTTTTCTGCACCAGCCTCAAGGAGCAGTGTGGATAAACTCGGCTGGGCTACTTTATCTCCTAGATGACGAATGCTCTTCCTCATTTTCACATAAAGGATTGCTCAGTCCATCTTGAAGGGAAAAAAAACACAACTAATTTAACAGAAAACACGTAGGGTACTGGTGAAAGGCAGGATGCTGAGAAGTGTTGGTTCAAGCACAGCTAAGAACATTAGGATGGTTTGGAGCCTTATAGGGTTACCACAACAGCTTTCACCTCCCCTACCTTCCTCTCTAAGTCATTACACAGGGGCCAGCATCTGCTGCAAGCAAGTGCTTTTCCTGAAACTTCTAGAGCAGGAGAGAGGTTACATGGTGACACATTTTTCCGTGAGCCTGTGCATGCTTAGGACAGGTGCCTGCAAACTTCAAGGTCAGCCCAACAGGAATTAATAGTGGCATAGACAGCTTGGAAAGAGGGCAATATTTGCTCATCACTCTCCAGCTCACTAAGGTGTGGACTGAGAGCTCTGGAAAACCTAGCCCTTTCTGCAGGCACCATGCGGGAAAGGGGAGAAGTCGAGACTTACAGCCTGCTCCAAAGAGTCTGAGCAGAGGACAATGACATGGGAAGGACAAAGGCCTTTCCAGGCTTTAACTCATCTATCTGACAAACAGTATCTTGGACAAACATTTGGCATTGATGCGTGTTGCATTAGGGCACAAAATCTTGAAGACGAAAAGGGTAAGAGGCCATATATCATCAGACTTGAGTTCTGATGTGCTGTTGTGGCAGCACGATTTCCTTTATTCCAATATGAAAAGCAAACAATGCCAATGCCAAAATAATTTGACTGAAGAGGTAGCGTCAGCCACTTTTCAGGAGACAAACGGGCTGGAAAAGACATTTGAATACTGAACAGGCAAAAGCAATACAACCATATATTCCTTAGCAAAGAATGCTGCACAACACCACCACCACCAGCAGCTTATCAGCTAGCTTTATTTGGCTCTGTCTGCACAAGGCAGAATTTCAAATACATCCTTCAGTACTAGCAGCATTCTTGGTGTAGGCACATTTTTCCACACTTGCCTGCCCCACTCCCCCAGGCCTCAGGAGGGGAGAAGGAACAAACTGCAAGCACTTAGTTTATATAAATTTCAGCCAGGCTGAATTCAGCATAAAAAGAACAGCAGTAAATATATGAACTACAAGTTTATGCACTAAGTATATAATTGACAACCTAGGCTTCCATTTTACTACACAAGAATGTACCTCCTCCTTTCCAGGCACAGGTCTGCTCTGCATTCCAGCAACAGAGCACTTGTCAGGCACAGAATAAATCAATACTTGCTATTTTGAAGTTTTAAGTTTGGTGCCAATTTGATTTGATTTAAATTTTCCTTACAGGGCAAACTGTATGAGTAGCTGGCACTACATCTTATGGTAATAGCAGCAGAGTTCTGGACAACCAGAGCATGAGATTTAAAAATAAAAAGGATTTCTCGCCAGCACTTAGCAGAAGGTTTTACAGAGCTATTTCTGGAACTACATGCCAAGCCATGTGACCAAAAAAGCCATTTTATTTTCCTTTCACAGGTTAGTAAGAAAGCCTATAAAAGGGAAGTACATGTTACTTCACACCAACTAGTGACCATAATCATTGATCTCCAGAAGCCTGACCTACACAGGATGGAAAACAGGCTGAACACTTGGAGAAAGACAGTTATTACCAGCCCTTTTCTCCTTCCAACATTGATTTGTCACTGCTGTAGGAGATAGTGGTACTTGCCCCAGAGATGCTCCTCCAGAGGTAGGAAGAAGAATCTGCTGTGCAGAGCAAGGCCCAAAGCTCTCAAGTCCTATGGCAGTTGTCCAAAGTGATATCAGAATTTTCCAAAATAGGCCTCTACAACAAAAGTCATCATTAACCTAGTTTCTGGCAGATCCTCCTGTACTTTCCACCTCTTTTTGCCTTCCTGCAAAAGGGCAATCTCCACAGAAAGAGCCTGTCTGTACACTCAGCTAGAATGGACATTTATATCCATGCTGTCTGGTCATATGCCTTCATAGAAGCCAGACCTCCAGAAAAACCCTTCAAAGGAGCCAGGCTGTCTGACAATACTGGAGTCCTGAACCAAGGGAATGTAAATCAAGAAAAAGCACTGATAAGGAAGTGTAATCCATTTTTAGATTAGATATTCATCAGCAGCTCAAAGTAACTTTAGCTTCCTCAAATTTTATATCAAATTTTATTGCAGCTTCTAAAAAACACTCCCTACTTTAAAAGGCTTTTAAAACGTATACAGGCTATTTAATAATCACTCACACAGATTTTCTTTTTCTTCCAACACAATAGAGAAAGGCTGAAGTGTTTTGTGTGGAGGCTTCCAACAGACAGGAACAGAGGCAAAACTGGAAAGGATGGAAAGTTTACATGATTTGCTTGAAGCATGCTGGCCCAAAGGGAAATATTTTTCTTTTCCTGACAGCTACTTGCATAGGATGTTTCTGTGGCTGTATGGCCAAGCACACGATTCTCAAAACAGGATGCCAGACGCAACACCAAGGAGAGTCAGTTTATATTACCAATTTTAGACTAATTTCATCCATTTACAGTTCTCTTTCTGTATATCCCACACTATTAGTTAATAAAATGAGTGAAATGGAAAGACCATGCTCATAAATTCTACCCTTTGCTCCTGTTCCATCTGGAATCCTGTGTCAGCTGCTTTTCATTGTAGCAGAACAGTCCAGGACAGCTCAGGTAGGAAGCCTGCAAACAAGCCCAACTAATACACAGCACACGAGCTACTTGATTTGCTTGTACTTCTGGCTAGACTAGCAAGAAATGTATTAATAGAATGATAACAACGCATTCAGGTGCCAATTATACTGGTTGTCAGATTTAACACATAATTACAGGTTTACAGAGACATGTCTTTAATTAAAATAAGAAACGGGTTTCAGTATTCAGTCTTAACTATTTTTTCTCGTATCTTTCTTCTCCCTACCTTCTCTTAAGCTACCACACATGAACAATTGATTGGACAGCAGATATGGAAATATACTCAAAATACAGCATTGTCATGAGCTCAAAAATCTACAATTCCTTTCAAGTGTTTTCAGAATTTGATTGACAGTCCAAACGTGGAATATGTTTTTCAAATGAAGATTAGGCATCAAAGTGGGCATTTTCATGCATTTTGCCGTGTCAGGGTCATTTGAAGTGCCAGAAAGAGGTTTAGAGAGTTAACAGCAAAAATCCTCCTTCAGACACCAAAACAGGAACTTCTCCCACAAAATAGCCTTCACATTCACCTTCAGAGTGAGGATGCACTCAGTTTTCCTGCCCGAAGGAGATAAACTGAAAAGTTGACACTGGATAGGGGAAAGGGAGAGGACATGGTAGAAGTTAAGGCACGGAGAAGGCCTAAAGAAACTTGACACCTCATCAGTGTATACTCCAGCAGTCATCTCCCAAGGCTTCAGTGAATGCAAGTAACAGGGAAGGGCTACACATACATATGGGGAAAGCAGGAGCAACACATCTAGTGCCTCGCTCAAGAAAGGCAAGGATTGAAGAGAAAGATGGAAGACTAATGCGCAGTGCACAAGAGTGAGATTTTTGGAAGCATTCATTCTGTTCCTGCTGGCCAAAGAGTTTTACTTAACACAAAGTCCTTCAGTGCATTTAAGGCCACAATCATGACATTGGCACTGACTCCCAGTAATGCACTAATCATGCTGCTGGCCTCCCTGTTCTTCATGGGTTTTGCTGAGCAATGCTCCATAGTTACCATCAAGGTGAGCAAGCGGAAGACAGACACCTTTGCTTTGTATCAGCTGTTCCTTTGGGAAGCTCTGCTTTTATACACTTCATGTTAGTCACTGAGCACAGAGCACAGCTCAGTCTACTGCACAGGGTGATGCATAAACAGACTACCACCTTCTTTCTTCTGCTGATGGGGTGGTCTAGAGGCACGTAAGCCACCCACACATCGAGCTGTTTAGAAACTCAAGTTCTAAGTTATCTCAAGGGACTTGGCAGGGCAATTGTTATTACAAAACAACTTGTTGGAGCACAGGGCTTCACTCACCTTTCCTTCCCGAGTTACCCTGGCTTGATGGTTTATCAGTTACAGAACCTAAAGAGAAGAAAAAGAGAACTCTTAAGGTGCTGCATGATCATACAAGACATGCAATCACATGAACACAATCAAAGTTTCAAACACACAAAGTGTAGGTTTTACTTGCCAACAAGTCATTTTAGGATTCAGTGATCCTGGAAGCTTCAACCAGCTATGATAGCATAAGGACAATTTAGGCATTAAAGATAGGGTCAGAGCAAGCAAGAAATCTTTAGTAGCTGGATCCAGTGTTTGTTAAAGCTCAGCACAATGTGTTAATAGGAAACTAGTAGGAAACGCACAACAAATTCAAGAGCAAGAAGGAAAGAGTCACTTCCATTTGTAAATGTCAGGAAGAACAAATCTAAACCAGGTGGGGAGAGTTTGTACAGACCATGCAAGGAGCAAGATTCTAAAGGAAAGGGATTAAGTAGAAGAATTTCTAGAAAATGAAATTCAACCAACTCCTGAACATCTCCAACTGTTTTAAAGGAAAGCGGGATAAGATCCAGCAGGTACTTGAATAGGATAACTCCTGTTTCTTCACATACACTTGAATCTTCATACAACCTATAACAGCCTGCATTTGTTTCTGCAGTTTGTTTCAAGGCTTCATCAAACAGATTTCCATTATAAGCAGAATAAATAAAAGGCAAAGCAAATTCATAAACTTTCATAATGAAACAAATCCATTAAGAAAGTGAGAAAATTTATGGCAAACTTTTAAAAATAGTTTTATTCCCCAGAAACATTCTTCTTGCACCCTTACTAAACTGTGAATTACAAAGACTGATTCTTCAGGATATGTGAATCAAGTCAGCTCCAAAGGGGACAGCTTTGACAGGAGCTTTGACAGGCCTAATAATCTGGTCCAGCAAAACCATATTCTAAAACTATTTGCTAGGCTCTTTCACTTGCATATTAGTTGATCACAGATCTAGAACTGAATTAAAAGTAGGAAGCATGTAAGCACATACATGATTTCAATAAATCATAGGTCTAACAGCTGTGTGTCCTACAGATAAACAAACCAATCAACCATTCTAGTTTCCTAAAAACACAGTTAACAAAAGGCTCAAAGATTAAATGAGCAGATCAGGAAAATATACCCTAAAACATGCCCTACCAAACTGTACTAGGAATCAGGGTCATTCAGAAAATCTAGAGCTTGCACCACCACCCCAGTCTTGTCCCACTTGGGCCCTGGGCTGCCACAGTGAACTGTGTGAAGGGGAGAAAGAAAGAGGACATCCATCGTCAGGCTGCTTCAGGTACAGCAAATGGTGGATTTGGGATACCCAGGCGCAGCGCTGACAGGCCAGCAAACCAAGAGGCTGCAGAAAGCAGTGTCAGGCCGTGAGCATGGAGGCCCCCGCATTACAAACCCAGCGACCTCACAGACTTGCAGCCTTCGTGCCCTGCCGCTGCACTGCCCTCACACGAGCTGTCGTGTCGTCCAGTCCCATAACAAACAGGGAAATCCTGGAACTGAGCAGTGTAATTAGAAGAATCAAATCCATTATAACAGCAGGACCCCAAATTTGGAGGCTAACAGTTTAATAGCTTCCAGCTTCTCACAGAAGAGCCTTACCAAAGCTTCAGCTGAAGGCACTCAGCAAGACAACAGGATTTCATGGTCCACTTGATACAGCTCATGGAAAAGAATTAAAGCTACCCCATTTTTTTAGTGGGAATCTCTTGATGGCAATACAGCTATTCTATCTTAGCCACCATAAATTGTGGTTTCACTTTGTTTTCTTGGTGACTTCTTTCCCAGTGAGCCTGCAGGAGTGTCTATACCCTAAGTGCAGGATGCAGTGCCAGAGAAGACACAGACATTGAGGACCCTGCCCTGCAGGGTTCAAATGCAGGCAAGCAAACAGGGAAATACAAGTACAACTGCGCTTTTTAAACTGGGCAAACTGCTCAGTCACCTGAAAAGATTAAGCCCTCAGAACAGGACACATCCCCCCTGTACCCCCCTTCCATTACCACGTACATGTTTGTTGAAGAGACTCCCACAGTACCTGAACACACAGGAGTTTTGTTCTGCACAGAAGAGCCGCTAATAGGCTTCCCGTCAGGGGTCACACACCAGCAGTATCCAGTGTAGGTATGGCACTGCACCTGGGTGATAAAACAAAGAGTCAGGCATTTCATTTCTCACTGTCACCCACCATTTCTATTGTAACCCAGCATCTTGCTGGCAAACCCAACTCAGAAGCAACTCCAAGCCCATTCCCCATTAGCTGTTTTCCTACTTAGGACCCAGAGAATCAGCTGAGAACACTTCAGATTTAGTAGGCAGCCGTTGTGTTTCATCTTTTCCCACCATTTTCTAGATCCTATTTACTATTCACCATTAAATAATTTCTCATTGCATTCCCATCCCAGCTGGGCTGAGGAAATGCCGCCCCAGCCCAATTCCACAGCCACTGTTTGAGAACAGTGTCCTGTGGCATTTTGAGAACATCTTGTCCAGTGAACACAGGAAAAAAAAAGTGGAACACTGCCTTCCATATGGTAAGGTATCTTCTCCAGATAGATTTGGGTTTTCCCAGCCCACATCAACTCAGGTCCCAGGAGCAAGGCCTGGCATCCTTGCTCTTCACATACTGACAAGGACTTAGGAACATCTGACGAAGGCCATAAGCAGCCAAAAATCCTCAGCATAAGATTCATCCTGATTAACCTTAAAGCTCTGCATCTGAACAAAATACCTAGAATTGCCCAGCACCACGAAGGGAAGACAGAACAAGGAGTTCAGCTGTGGACCTCTAAAAGAAAAGAGGAAATCTGATCCAGCAGACTCTTCTTGGTCATGTCCAGGCAGATTCTATTTCAGGGACACTAAAGTTCCAACCAGATTAATAAATCCTCTAACTATAGCCCTTGTCTCAGCTTTCAGAAAGTGATCAACATTTCAGGATGCCTTTTGACTTCCCTTAAGATAGGAATAAACAATCATCATAAAGGTACCTGTATAAATACTAACAGTTTCAGAAACTTTCTAGTAAACACAGCCTCAGCAGTGACCAAGTTTGCACAGGAGGGCTTCCAGGATCTTGAAATAGTATAGAAATGCCTACGTTACCAAAAACTGAAGCTAGCTTCATTGACCCAGTTCGCAAAAGAGCCATGAAGTAAGATCATTTCAGAAACTACCTTTTTTATTTTACTTTCAAACTTGATTCTTGACTCTTTTTTCCCTGAGCAAGCTCACTGAAGCTGACCCCATGTAAGTCTTTTCCACACAGAAGAGTGATGGAGTGTTTGTCCCAGGCCCTCCATTAGGCATCCTTCAGAGCTAGACCAATTATTCCCCCTTGCTGACAGCTGGCTCCAATTCCCAAAGGCAGCAGAGTTTGTTCAGAGACTTTACGACAGTCTTTTTAAAGGCTTTGAGTATCACATAAGACATGATCTAAGAGCGATTATAACACAGCACCACGTGTTTATCTTGGGCTTTACTAACCTGCAAAGCAATCATTTTGCCTTGAGCCAAGTTCACATATAGTGGCCAAAACCAACAATAATCTCATGCACTCATGTTTCTAGAGCCACTGTCACTCCTCTCCGAACACTTTCACTTTTATTCTCTTAGTACGCCACCAAATTGATTGCAAATTACTCAAAGGCACCATGAATGTAATTAGTGATTAATCACATTGCAGAATATTTCTTATTACTCAGTCTAATCAATGGCACATTCAAAACAAGTGCAATGAAACTGTTTGGGTTTCTGTCCGTTGTGTTTATTTTTGGTGATCACATGCACGTTTTTTCATACTCAAAAGCACAAGAAGTTGTGTTCAAGTCCAAAGCAGGTCCAAGCCACTATACACCACAGCATCTGGTCACAAATGTTTTAAAAAAAATACTAAGTACACTTGTTTTAAACATATTTCTACTCTTCCTATGCAGTAATATATAAAAATGTTCATGCATCACCCAACTTTTGAAACACCTGATGTACTCAAGCCATAATAGTCCTTTAGCCAAATCTTGAGAAAACCAAAGTACAAAGTTAATGTCAGAAGGCTCCAAGAAATATATTAACATAAATTTAGGATAGCAATCCCAAGAGTAATCCCAGCAGCTCTCAAAGGAGAGCTGCAAATTATATACCGTTCAATTATATAACCCCAGAACATTACTCTCATAAAAGGTAAGTAACTTTGTGAGCAATGAAACTAATGAAGTCTGGTCTTCCAGAGACAGGTACCCCATGGCCCCTTCTTCCCTCCTCACACCAGCATAAAAAAACAAGCAATAAATCTCAGATTGACAGCTCTTTCACATCAAACAAATGTTCTGCTGAAGCACAAATGGACTTTCCTACTGTAGATAAGAGCAGGTGATGGGGACTCAGCCCTGACTCTCATTCCTAAAAATGGGACAACTACGCACAAAGAACAGACACTTGAGAAATCACTGCAGTCAACTTCTCTGAATGTCTTTGTGTTGGGAGATGCTTACAGTCTGAGTTCACAGCTTTAAGGCTGGAGAAAAAAAAAAAAAAAACTAGTGTAGTTCTAAATCAACTCCATAGTCCTGCTATAGTCTGGAAAATAAAGTTGAAGATACCAGCTGATCCAGTATCATCTCAGACTACACACATAGCTTACAGTGTCAGCTATTCCTCAGAGACTAACATCTTCCACAGCTCCTGTAGCAGGGAATCTTGAAAATTCACAACTTTACTATTTTCCAGGGACCTTAGGCTTAGCTTTTATTATTCTAAATCTCCATTTAAATCTTCTGCCCAACATTAAATCTTTCTTATCCTACTCCAAGAGCAGCCAAATTATTAAATTTGCTATCGCAGAAGATCATGTAGAAGTTGCAACAACTTACTGCACAAATGTAATTTTCAGCTATTCAGGTTCTTACCTAGGACTTTCAAAAGACTTTATGTAAGTTTGGCTCCTTTTTTTTTTTTTTTTCTCTCTCCCCTTTCTTTTTCACTCTCATCAGCCTCAAAGCTAAGCATTGTGTCAGGAAAAGGCATTATCAATTCTCCAGACTTGATTGCTAAGGGAGTTTCAGCTATAGAACCCTTGTTACTGGTACAAATGCACCCCGCAGATATAGCTCAACATCAAATTAATATATGGCCATCATACAGTTGAACATTTTAAGTTATAACATGGAATCAAAGAAATGAAACCTGTAAAGCATTGCAGTCTTTCAACTGATTCTTCACCAACAGGTACACTTGAAAAAAAAAAGTACACTTTAAAATCCTGTAGCACCTGAATCTGATTATTCAGGAAGACAGTTTCTACTTTTTAGGAAAAAGGGAAATGTCCTCTCAATTCTGCCTCTGCTGAAGGATGAAAAGGATGAGGGAAACATCCAACAGAAATGACTGTCACCATTGCCCAAATTAAGAGCACGAGAGCTGCTCCTCTGTTCCCCACATGACAGTATGTGAAATCAAGCAGCAGCTAACATGCTAGCAACTGAATGAGCCTTTTTCCTCATTACATTCATTAAAATATGAAGACATGAAAACTATGGTCACTGGCAGTCTCCTTTGCCTCTTAATTCCTGAGAGAAGAGGCCGATCATTGGGATTGCTTCAGTACCTCCCTGTCAAGGCCAGACCAGGTTTCCACAGCAGTCCAAAACTTCTCAGCAAGCTAGTTGGATCATCCCTTTGCAGCCTTTTGACAAAGAAGAATCAAAGGCTTGCTTCCAAAAAAGAAACTAGAAATGGGGAAGAGATATATGAACAGGTAAAGGGAGATAGAAGAGGCAAGACAGGAATTCTGGGATGGCTGAAACCAGTCCTCTGTGGTTATAGAAAGCTGGAGTTTGCTCTAAGAGGGTCTCAGATGAGTACTGAACACAGTAAGAGTATTCAGACTCTCCTGTAAATGCTGTTCAGACAGTTTGATAAAGGATTCCTATCCAATGGCAGTTCTGACAAACACAAATGTTTTCTGGCTTCTTTAGTAATGGAGGGTGGAAAGGAGAAGGGAAACAAAACATTCTTTCTGAATTCAAAACAATATTTCAGAGGAGGGGAAAAAACATTTTCAGGTTTCGAAGCCACTGCTGTGTAGGCCGTGCCCTCCCTCTCACCAGGCGTGTGGCAGACACCAAAGCCTGGCTGCGTTCAGCTCCTACTTGTAAATACTGTAAAAACAGCTAAAGAAGCCATCAAAAAACAGTAGGTCCTCTGGCCTGACCCAGACAGCAGGAAAAGGATTCACATGAGAACTCTTTAACCACGTCTTTTATTTTTCAAGCTATTGAGGCTCATCTAGAATGTCCTCTAGACCCCAGAGGAGTGGCAGGGAATCTGCACACTGGCCTCAGTGCTATTTATACTTGCTCTAAGCGATGGCACCTCTGTTCTCGTTTAAATGTCTTATTGTACGACACAGACCCTCATTCTTGTGTTCTTTCTGCTATATTAAAAGTTCGCTGACTATCAGAAACCTGCCTTTCCTCTGTAGATAATTTTAGGGAGCTATCAATCAGTCTGCATCTTAAGTTTGAGTTTCTTCAGGATTGCTTTTAAAACCTTAAATCCTTCTTTTTCTTTTTTTTTTTGGGGGGGGGGGGGGGCGGGGGGGGGATATTCTCTGCTAACATTTAATTCTTTCCAAAAATTTTACAAACATTCCTATGGGGGCTTTATACAGCAGCCCCCTTCCTCACATCTATGCACCATTCAAATGTTTGCTCCACAGAATTTTTTTTTACTATTAATATAACCAGAAACAGAAGTGATTTGTGGTGAAAATCCTAGTTGTATTCTAGCATATTTCCAACACAACCTTTCTGGCACAGATACCATTTTCAACTCAGAAAAGAGATTCCCAACCTAAAAACACATAGGACCCCTTCTTCAGGTGCAGAAAATGACTGTGACAACTAAGAATGGCCTTACCCCTGTCCCATCCCATAAAGAAACATTTTAAGAGTCTCTTCCTTTGATCTCTTGACTGGTACTTCTTTGAAGAAATACCATATGCAATTTGAGCTGCCATCTCCTTGCCATGGGTTATCTTTAGCTCAATGTACAGATAGAAGGCAAAATGAAACATGGAAGAAGAAAGTGAGTTCATAGCTAGCAAGAAAATCCTGGTATTCAAAGTTCCAGCTTTTGTCTTTTGCAGAAGGGGTATCTTCCCTTAATCAAAAAAAGCCAGAAATATCTTCTAACTGAAGTTCAGATTCCTTACAAAGAAAGTCTCTTTAATCAAGTAAGTGTGTGCTTTTCCCTTCCAAAAGGGAGGTAAGTCCTATTGCCAGAGCATGAGCCCTGCATAATGGAATATACAGGGAACGCGGGACATGTCTACACGATGCCACACAGCACTCTGCTGCACGGAGAGATGAGCGTGTAAGTCTGCCCAGCTTCATGCTATGCTAACCCATGCAGAGACAGACTGAGGCTGTGAAAGAGCACTGTGTGCTAAGGGAGCATCTCCTGAGTCTGCTTGTGTGGCTTCAGAGAAGTTAGGACTGCACTAATCCTTGTACAAGAATCAGCATAACACAGAATGAAACTATTGCTGTGGGCCATGATACACATTACTATCAGACTTATATTGTCAAATGTGAGAGTGTTCTGGACACTGATTCCCATCTAATGAAAACCAGCTACTGACTCCATCATCAGAAGACAAGGGTGACTGACACGCTCGCTCGAAGAGAACCCTGCGCTGTGTGACAACTGCATTAGCAGCTGCAGCCCTCAGAGCCCTAAATGCAAAGAAACTCTCCAAGCACAATATCGCTCTCAGCCACTTGCATGGGAACTTGCAAGGGAAAGAAACTAAACCTAGAAAAATGCAACAAGGTGTCAAAAAGCAAGACACCCCACAAAGCCACACAAGACTATATTGCCAAAGCAGGGTCGAAATTATTCACGTTCATTATCATCTGTCTGAAACTGATTCTGTTTAAAACTTCAGCAGCCTTGTCTAAAAAACTCCTTGGGGGAAAACTGTGAAGAATGCAAGTTTCTCTCAGCCCATGGCAACACGCCCAATGGCACTAAGCAGCAAAAGGAAGTGTGCAGATTACCCAATAGAGCCTGTTGTTTATGAAGAACAGATCACAGCAGGTTAAGTGCAGCATGGAAAGGGAATGGCATTTATGCAAAATAGAGCATAACAACAAAAGGAGAGAGCGAGTCTTGGAAACAGAAACTGGTTTTAGTGATGGAGAACTCTGCACAGCAGTATGCAATCTCAATCGGATATAATTAATCAAGTCTTAATTAATCAAATAACTTATTCACAACATAAGAATCTTTGATATAACTCATGTTTTATCTGTATGCTTTTATTGCTATGGGCTAAATGCAGACAGACTTTTTATAGGAAGTTGTATTCCCCACACAGGATTGAAGGGCACAGGAAAAGCCCTGCTCCATTTCCAGAGCAGTTCACCAGCTCTGCTCTCACTGTCCTCCCATCATGCTGGCCATGCCACCACCTCTTCCATGCTGCAAATCCATGCTACATTTTCAGATGTACAAGCAGTACCAAAACATTTGAGGAGATCTTTACAATACATGAACTCCTAGAATAAAGCAAGCAGCTGAGGCATTGCATAAAGACCCTAATGGAAATCACTGATTTGACAGTTGCCTGTTCCCCTTGACAAAGTACACAGAACACATTATGACTAGCCCTGCCTAGGAAGATTAACAAGCAAAGCAATAGAGTCAGCGACAACACTTCGGCATTGTTCTAGATTTGCAGACAAGGAAAAGAGATTATATGGGTGCAGCATTGTTCATGGTTTTCCCTTCTACAAAATTCCAGAATTTCCAATAATTCTGCAACAAAATCCCAGATCTTTTGAAAGATGACAAGGAAGATTTGGGCACTATAGGCTACTGTGTATGTACCTACAACAGAAGCTTGGTTTTGGACTCAGCTCAAGATAGGATACCCACATACTAGATTAGTGCTATTACCAGACATTTTATACTCTTATGCAAGATGTGCATACATCTCACTTTCCCCTCTGAGCAGGATTTATTTTATCAAAAAGACTTATTAAAATTAAATTTTGCTCAGAGTATCTCTATAAATCTGCGAAAGGGATGAGTTGTTGAAGAGAGTCCCCAGTCAACTCTAAATACAGGGTACAGTTGGAAATGTGGGAGTCTACTTAGTTCTTTGATGAGATGGGGTTTCAAGATTGAGGAACATGGTAGGTATTCCTCCTAGAAACTTTGTCCAGACATGTTGTTCTGTTCTAGACCTCCCAATTGAGATTAAGTCTGCATAGAGCTACTCTCCAGATATCAAACAAGAATAAGCTGGTATGAGCTGACTTCAGGAAGGCCTCAGACATTTCACAAACTGGCCTAGGTAGTTTCTGTGCAGAAACAAACCTGGAGGTGCCAATTCACACGATGACAGAATGGCTGAGCTTGAAAGGGACTTCTAGACATCATCTATCCGAACAGTCCCCATTCAAGCAGGGACACTTGGAGCATGTTGCATAGGATTGTGTCCAGGCAGCTTCTGAACATCTGCAAAGAAGGAGACTCCACAACCTCTCTGGGTAACCTGTTGCAGTCACTCTTAGGGTAAGGAAGTTTTCCCTCAGGCTCAGACAAATTCTCTGGACAGGAAATGCAGCACCCAAATGACCCCCGCCAGACAAGATATGAGCTGCTAGAAGCAAAACTAGTTTAGACTGCTCAACATTCTGCATTTTAATCACCCTTTTAAATTAAACTAATTTGGAACAGAAGTTAAAAGAAACACTTGTCTCAAAAGCAGGATGAAACCTGTTATCTTCCTCAGCAACTGTTTTTCATTGACATCTCATGTGGGGACAACGACCTTAAATGCCGCAGTACAAATGATGAAACTGGTTCCTAAGGTATGTGGAACACAGCACACTAACTGAAATTCCTATCATTCCTTTCATAATAATGACACTTAAAAAGGAATCAGAAGCTTCCTTCCTTATGCCAGGTAAAACAAAAGCACTTTAGTGTTCATGATCTGTTTTTAAAAGGAGTGAATGAAGGAAAACTGTTGCTTGGCTTCCAGCTCAGAGCATTCGAGTTGTCAGCAATTTCATGCTGCTCCTTCACTGAAAATCCTGGCAACCCATATTGGTCTGGGAATGCAGGAAAGTAGCCCATCAACTGCTTAACCATCCAGACACTAGTACCAAGCTACCAAATAAAGCCTTGTTTCGAACAGTTTTATCAGCTGCACTCTCATTCCAGCTTAGGGTAAAAATTTCACTTGCACCCTCTACCTTCCAGACAGTGGGGGGCTGCTGAGAGGAGACTTTGAGGACTCAACCTTGTTCCCCTTTCCTTCTTGAACTATAAAGCTCAACACAGAACACTTACCTCCTCTCACTCCCTACCTTTCCAAAATGGTCCACATTATACACAAATAGGATGCTGCTCTAAAGTAGTATGCAAAGAAGTTGGCATAACAGATATTTTTTTCCCCATCTCACTATAAAAAACAAAATGAAAATACTCCTACACACCAGATAATAATGGAAGGGTAAAGCTGGAGGGAATAAAGATTTTTAGAGTGGGTTATCAGGAAAAAAAAAATCTTTCCTCTTCCTGCAGGCATCACGAAGTATTTGAACAAGCCCCAGAGCTTCTAGTCTTTCTCATCTTTTTGAAACAATATTGATTATATTTTGGATTATGTTTTGCCACAACTACTTAATTTCTGTGAAAGTCTGTAGGTCTGCTCCAAACAAAATCATCTGTGAATGCTGCTCAGTGGCCATGACTGTTCATTTTGCATAAATCTTAAAGGTCAAACCACAAGAAGCGTGTATGGCTCCTCTGCTCTCCCTGCCTGAAGTAGTTATTTCTTACGAGAAGCAGCCTACTTAGCCCCAGCAAGTGAATACTACACAATCAAAAATCCAAACAAAGAGGTGTCATGGCCAGTCTCATCACCTCCATTTCAGGCACCCAGAGCACAATGGAGAACAGCACAGGAAGCAAGAGTCTATTGCTAAATGCTGTGCAGAGGTGAGACACTCAAGAGAGCTCTAGGGAGCCCCTCTCTTTTGCTGGGATTTATGAAGCACTGGCAACAGCAGTGGAAGCCAGCCTGTTCTGTGAACCACATTTCTCTTTGCAGATCATCTCCAGAGAACACGTGGCCTCCCCTGCAACTTTTAGCAAAGATGACAATTTCTAAGCAATGCTGGAGGTGGATGTCAATACACATGCATGTCTTAAGGTACATTCTGTGCCTGAATCAGACTTCCCACTTGATTAAACAGGCCTCAGCTTGCAGCCCCCTTCACTCCAGGTGAGGAAACCAGTATAACTGCACTGCTCTCCTCATAACAACAAATCTCTTGCAGCCTCCAAGCACCTGGCTGCTAGAGACCAATGGACATTTTACCTGTGTGAATGATCCATCCTCATTGCACTCTGGGATGAAGACTGCTTCCTGGGGCTTCTTTGCTTGTTCCAGTGCTTGAGCTCTCTCTAATCGACACTTGCTTTGGCCAGCATCTACAAACACAGAGGCAAAACAGGCTCAGATTGCAAATACCATTTGGCCTCTTCAAAAGCTACAGCTATACAGTGCAGATGGGAAAAAACAAACACACACAAGGCATCAAGAACCATTACCTGCACACTTGAAAGGCAGACATGAGTTAGCACTGACAATGCCCCAAACAAGTGTGAACCCACGCAATCAAGCTATGAGTTAGCTGGCTAATTTCCCTGAGGAAGTCTCCCAGCAAGACGCTAAAATAACTAACCTTCCCTTCCCTACCCCACACCTCGAAATTCCACCTTTCCATGTTCAAGCAAGGCTCCAACTGATAGGACCAAACATACATTACACTTCCTTATATCAGTTACTCACTTTGCTGCTAAGGAAAGACATTTGCTCTGTGAGCATTCCGAGAGGGTTAAGATCTCAGCTCTGCTTCCATTTTACACGATGCCAGCACCTCACATGACCTTAAACCCCTTCCAGGTCCAGCTCACTGGCACAGGGCATAGATCCAGCTAAGCCTTACATTGATTACCTATGGGTCAAAAGGAGAATTCTGTTCTGCAGGGATACAGCACACACGTGGTGTCTGCATTTGTAAATCAAATAGCTAAGGGTACTACTGTTCAAGCCTGGAAAGCACAGAAAAATAGCAAGCATGTGTTTCTATGGGGTGCTGTACATCCCTCTTCCACTCACTGGAAGGTTTTCAGTGCAGAAACTGCAAAAACTGGTCAGCAGATCCTTCAGCAGCACCATAAAGAGTCATCGAAGTTGAAACCCCCTTCTGTCAGGGCTGTCACATTGTTTACCAAAGCTTCTCTACTGAATCCCTGAAGATCCTACATTCTGCTTCAGCCTAGCGCTTGAACTTTCACAGCAGAATCAATACTACCACTGAATTAGAAAGCTGACCTGGGCTCCCAGATCAATTGAATTTGCACTTTCCATCTAAGCATAACTAGCTGCAGAACCAAACAACAGTGCTATAAATAATCAGTTTTGATTAAGATACACAATAAAACTTTCCAGCCAAGTACCTTATTTATGCAACTCAGGATTTTAAAAGACCAAGTTTCGGGTTTGCTAACAATGACTAGCCAGGTTCATTTTAAATGCATCACATTAATGTACTCTAAGCAGTATTTCATAGGCCTTCTGGAATTATGTCAATCAACCCTTTTCTCATTTGGAAAAAGCGATTATTAACAGCAGGTGACTAGGTACTCAGTAGGTTACAAAACCAGACTACCTAACCTATACCAATTCAGCCATTGACTCATTCGCTGAGTGATCCCTCCCCATGGCCTTATGCCCCTTCTAATCCTGGCTTTCATGAATTAAACTTGCACTGAATTCAGAGAAGTCTTGACATAACCTGACAGAACTTTTTTTCCACTTGCATAAGTGACCATATTATCAGAACTTGTTTACATGCAGTCACAGTCCTGACAGTTCTGCCAGCAGCACTGTCTATTTAAACACATTCTACTTGGGATGAAAAGTAATATTGCTAACCAGATCACCTAGCTATCACACGTAGATCTCCTGTTCAAGCTTAGGAGCCTAGCCTTAAGGAGATAGGACATTACTACAGAATCAGATGGCATGGCTGCACCTTCCGTTTTATCGCTGTTGAATTAAAATGCAGGCTTTCATGTTCTGCTTCACAGGACACAACTAAGAAGCAAAACCCGTCATAGATCATACAGTGCCACAAGCTTAAGAAGAATAGAAGGAGAATGGCTAGTCTCTCATGTGACAACCAAAGCACAAATTCACATGTGGTTTCTAGTCTGCAGGACACAGGGCTGCAGACAAGTATATCTAGTTAACATTGTTATGCAGATGCAATATTTTCTCCTCTCTTCTGACGATGAAGCAGACGCATAAGGGATTTCCACAGCACGTCTACTTCAGTGCTGGCGCACCCACCACGTTCATACACAGCAGTAGCTACGTGACAGGCTGGAGGCTTCACCACACATCTGGTAGGAACGAGCATTTTGTAGTATCACCTGCAGCACAGAGATATTTGGAATCCAGCCAGAAGGGAGTCTAACTCAGATCTTTGTCCAATTTGTCTAATGAGCATGCAAATATCCACACAAGTGAAGGTCTTACTAGACAGAGATGACAATACAAGCATATTATTGCTATGGTGATAACGTCTCTCCCAGCAATTTTAACCGGCCTTCATAGATCAAGCTAACTGCTAGCGCTCAGTAGACCTCACTCTAGCATACCATCCCTACACCACCAAGTTTAAGAGCTCATTTTTCTTGCAACGTCCTCTCTCTCATTTCAACCCTTGGCTCAAGCAGTGTCATTTCAAAAATTGCTGCTGACGTGTAGAGAAGAAACATTTCTGCCCCCTGTTCCTGAGCACTCAGCACTACTTATTCCTCCCATCCTTCCTCATTGATCTACAAAGGTCATTTCAGTCCTTTTACAGCCTTGACTTGGAAAAGTCGTCTACACCACACTGGCTGGAGGTGTATGGGTACGGTTATCTTCTTCTGTCTGTAGTTTCATAATTGAGTTCCAGTAAAAACAGTGCCTTTAATATCAGCATTTACCAATTTGTTTTTAAAAGGACTGTCAAATTCCTTCTCCTCCTCATAGATTGGTATTTTTATAATGTTTGCATCAACATGTGATTTCAGTGGGATGACTTCATCTTACTATTTTTGCTTTGTTAATTAGAAAATGTAAAATATGACATAAGTGCCAAGGATTAAAGAGTAGCTGCCAAATAGCTTACCCAAATTTAAGATGTATTGCAAATTTTACTAAAGCCTGATGCTAAGAGGTAGGCTCATACACCTATGCATTAATGCATTCCATTTTCATTGTCCAGACTGAATCTAAATAAGGTTCTCTCCCCTGTATTAAGTGGAGAGAAAAAAAAAAAACACAAGATTACTTTTCTAAATGTATTGTTTAATTATTTGACCTTAAATACCTTGAAAATTAGGACAAAGTTACTGATGCTCAGACTGCATTTTAAAGAAAATTTGTTACTGTAAAGTTGGTATCTGGCAACTAGGATACTGACTGACTGTTTTCAACATACAGGGCCTAATTTGCAAAATTCAGGATTTTGCAAATTTTGGATTTTGCAGTGAAGTCAACATGATTATCTTTTCTGTGAGCAGTCACCAAGCTTATCCAAATGAGACTACTCCATAACATACATAGCACATCTATGAATGGGCCCCAGGAATTCCAGCACACTCTTCACCAGAAAGTGTCTGTTCGATACCACAGAACGGGGTGTGAAGATCCAAACTATCCTAATAGGAAGTACTAGATCTTCAGGCACCTACGTAAGGCCAGAGGCAAGTTTGTATTACGTAACCACAAAAAAACTAGCTATTTAGCTTTAATTTTACTTTGTTTTTACCAAAAGCTCAAAGAAAAAAAGTTTGATCCAAACAGCTTTTGACCTATTTATAGTTACATTAGGTAACTGTCTCACATACAGGCCAGGTCACTCAGGCACAAAACAGTCCAGCTACACTGAAGTTTGCAAATTCATATCCACGTATTCAAGCCAGCAAACTATGGCCTTTGCATAAAATAGGCAAAAATGGAAGCTGAGGAAACTACAAAAATGTGCCTGTGTCCCACAGGGTGTCAATCATTCTCCATTCTCCCGTTTGTTTCCCCTTCACTTGTGAGAAGTCCCACACCAGCCATCTCCAACATTTTTCTATTCATGCTGGCATACTTTGCTCCCTCTTTGATACCCAGACATCTGTGTTATTACAGAGTTCCTAACCTGAAGCATCTCTAAAAACATGGCTAAATTTGTAAAGTAATTGAGGACTTCATTTAGATTTTATTGCCCAGTATGCTGCCCATGAGGGACCCATTTTCCTCTCCCTTGACCAGGAATAAAAAATTTCAAAGACACATGGACCTAACAGACTAAGAAAGCAGACAGAGGAGAAATATTACCTTCAAGTAACTGCATCAGTCAGAATGAGACTTTCCTTCCCAATACCATCAGCCAGTTCTTGTGTGCAGTCAGGTGTCTCAGCAGCATGGGCTGAAGACTCCTGTTACAGTTCCTAGCAGTAACTTACAGATAGGTTTATTCTTCATGTGTGACTTGTGATCTCAGAACAAGCTCTGTAGCCGACAGTTTCAAACCCATCTACTAAAAATCTCTCGGGAAAGCTTTCAGAGCACACCACCTCCTTTTTTCTCACAACCACTACATAATCGTGACGTTTGCCAAATTCCATTTAACAAGTTCTTGTCCTTCAAAACTGCAAAATTCTGATGCAAAAATCTGTTATTTAACATATGATCATAAGATATCTGCTGACAAGAGATCCAGGTACAAGTGCCTGGGCATGTATTTTATGCACAGCTACACCATCTGGAACTATTCTCTGCGTTCCCATCAGTGGCTCCATTTGTCATGGATGCCCTCGGCCTCGTTGTTTTAAGCTACTCCTGACTTTTAACCCTTCATCAGGTGGGGGGAGGTTTGGGAGGGAGATGGATGGTTTAGTGCTGGAACAATTTCACTGAGAAGTACCTACAGAAACTGGCAAGGAGCAAGAGCTGAATAAGAGTTATAGTTCCCAAGGGGGAAGCAAGATTTCATTTTTAAAGGTCCTTAAGTTCTTGAGATAGAGCAGAGAGCTAAACTGAATCAAAAGGTTCTGTTCTCACTATGGAAACCCTTCTGCTTGTCTTGATACAAGTATAGTTTTAGTTATGAGAACATGAAAGTAAAAAACTGTGGTAGACTGAGGTACAATATTGTGGCCTTGCTGTCTACAATATGCTTCCTCTTCTCCTTATTTTAATTACCCACTTTTTTTTTTTCTGCTCCTCAGAGAAGCACAAGCTAAAATTGCTCATTTTGTAAGAGCCATTCGGTAGGGTGTTTGTCACAATTATTGCTGCCAGGGCTCGATGACCACAGGATCCCTTCCAGTTCTATGGGAGATCCCTTCAGAGTGTCTCTGTCATTTTGTCATGCAGAGAGAATGAAGGCTGTTCAGTGTAAACCAGGTGCCCTACTGCTGTAGTAGATGATGCTTGAAAACTGCTGGTGATACCTTTCTTTCTGAGAGTATAAGATACAGACAAACCTAGCCAAGAACCTGTAGTCACACACATACCTGTCTTGCAACTGACTGTATTTGCCAAGAGCAGTGACCTTTATGCATAACCGGAGGCCATATTTCTAACATGACTAGAAAAGCAAAGTATTTTTCCATAGCAGCACACATGGAAGTTACCAGTAAAGTTAAATTTGAACATAGTCGTTAAAAGTATATTCCCACTTCCCAGCAATTAGTTGGAGCATTAGATAGCGGGTTAAGAGTAGGACTTGCAGTTGTCAAATGCCCCTAGATGTAGGGCTGTAGAGTAACACAGAGTAAAGGAAAAGGGCAGAGGAGAACATGAGAGGTTTCAGCTAAACATTTCAGTTGTAGTTGAGAAAGGTAAAAGGAAAAGTTACCTGTGCTTAATAAAAAAATCTTTTACTTCTTTGGGACTCCACAAGCATGCTTTACAGCAGGCTGTGCAGCTTGACAATCAGCATCTCTACTTCCAGAGCAGACTTCTGTGTAAGGCTCATGTTTTAAGTGACTGGAGAGTGTCAGTTCATGTGTCACCATCAGTCATGGAGTTTCCTAGCTAAGCCACTGTGCTCAAGAAATGATAGCAAAGACAGAACTTCCATCCGACCACTTCTTACTGTGTTACTTGCAAGTGTGCTAGTTACAAAGATTCCTGGGGCTCCTGGGAGCCAAATTCTGGGCTTGCAGTAATGAGAAAGCAGCATGATTCAAAGGCCCTTTCCTATGTGATATGGGAAAAGCTGCCATAGATGCATTCAGCAGGGGTACATACATACAAGCAAGCTGCCTTCTAATGAGTAACCATTTAGAAGAAACCTATATTTCTTGTCATGCTTATATTTCACCTAAAAAAGCTCATTTCTACATTCAAATGGAATGTCTATTTTAGACCAAGCAATTCTGACAAAATGCACTTTTATAATAGTAAGAGTCCTTAAAAAGTCAAGTTTAAACACATGTCCATTTATCCTTCCACAGGGATTTTTACAAGTTTCTCCTGTCACTTTAACCAATTGCTAAAAACATCTGCACCATCTGCCCTCTGAGCCAACTGTGCTCTCAGGAAATGCACTCAACTTGATTTTTCACTTCACTGCAGAAGCAAATCATTTGTATGACAAGAAACCAACATTCCTAAGAAAAGTTGCAACTTCATCTTCAGACTATGCTGAAGAAAAGCCGAGATGGCAAGGAAACAGTGTGCTTATTTCCAATTGCAGCTATAACAGCAAACAGACAAAAAGAAAAAAGAGGCCATGTAAAGACTTGCAAGCATTTTGTCGTCTTAATTAGCTCAGCACAAAAAGGCTGTCTAGCCCTTTCCCAGGCATATGCATCTCGTGCACATACTTTCTTCCTTACTCCACATTCCTACTGTTCCCAGTAACTCAGTTAAACACCAGAGAAGGGAGCAAGGGAGACTTCTTTAAGGATGTGATTCTGCATTTCCATGCAGCCAACTCCTTTTGATCCATAGACAAGTTTGGGCCTTTTTTTTTCCCCTTCCAGTGATGTCTTTGGCACTTTTGCCTTTTTTTCATTGTAATTCAGTAAGTTCTTACTCCTGCCATCCACCCCCAGGCCTAGATGGCCATTCTGACAAAAACAATTTGAATCAGATTACTCTGCAGGTGGGCCTGTGAGTTCAGTCTGCTTAGGCAGGACTCCCATTCCTCCCCACAGAGGCGTTAGAAATGCACCTACCTTTGCAGCGTCCGCGATGTGTCACGCTCAGGCTTGCTTCTCGGCATTTAGCTCTCTGGTAGTCACACATGGACTCGTACGTTCTGCCATCGGAAGCACAGAGGGGCTTGGATTGGGATCTGGAGCAGTGCAGGTTACACTGAGGGTCTCTATCACGGTCACTTATTAAAAACTGAAGGGAGTGAGAAAAGGAGGGAGGGAGACAAAAATTACCATTTTCATTTGGTTTCTCAAAGCAACGCACTGTGTATTTTGTTTTTATGACAATAACAATATGGTCTATAATGCTGTTTAAGCTGACTATCAAAGTTGACTTTGCCTGAAGGGAACTTAAAATGAAACACGTATGTCTTGAATATTTTAAAAAATTAAGGGTCTTTGCCATTCCATTTTCTTTAATGGAACGGAAACATTACTCACTCTGCCTCACCTCTGCAAACATAAGATGTGCAAAGCCAAACAACTCACTCGGGAAGGGCAATACTGAGTCACATCAGCCTGGCTTGCCCAGGGCCCTGCCGCAAACAATATCCAGTACCAGGCACTTGAGTCAGTGCTGAAAAACTTATCGCTGAGGCTGGAGGAACCCAAATAACCTTTCAAGGGGCCCTGGTAGTTGAAGTGCAGCTTTATATTTCCAGTTGCTTTTTTTAAGCTTATAAACTTCTCCTTATATCATCTGAGGATACCAGCTGCCATAGTGTACCTGCACCCTCCCAAAGCCATGCTTTATTTCTCCCAATGACATCCTGCTGAGCTGAGAATTGCATTCCATACAGTCTACAATGCAGCACAATATTTTCACTATTTTCTTCTGTAAGTTTTGAATTTGCCATCTTTCTGAATGTGTCCTCTTCCCCCACATTCAGTCCAGGAGGGGCTCATTATTTTTGTACACACATATCTGCCCTTTTTTTTTTCAGTCTCTCAGGGTAACCACCCCATCCTTCCTTTCTTCCCTCAGAAAATATTCTCCATACCACTACCAATGTGGTTTCCATTCCCTGAGGTTAGCTGGGCTTTTGCCTTATCTTTTGGAGATGGAGCAACCAACACAGCACAAATGAGTCACTGAGTTTTGATAGTCTCCATTTTCTGTCAGCTTGTTCCCTGACAACGCCAATACCACACAGTGGCTTCTCTTTAAGCCATCAGCTGTACTCTAAGGTGCCCACAGCAATTCCCAGACACAGACTTTTCCAAGTTCACCTTCTCTTCCAGGGAATCCTGACTCCCAATCCCCCTGCCGTACTCCTGGATTACGGTTTCCACAGGACGTTATAGTAGCAGCCCCTTTCACTTTTCCACTCACTTCCCATTCTCGGCTTAGCAGTAAGACAGTTAGGCCTTTAATTACCCCCCAAATCCAGCCACCTGTTCAAAGGAAGATTTCTCCCATAGGGATTAGCAAGGAAAAGGAGGGAAATTAAACCCATCTTGCACTTCCCAAGCCTTTGAGCCGGAGGGAATCCGGGTTCCTCTCTAACTCCGCAGCATCCCAGCGCGCTGCCAGCGGGCCCTGCCTGACACCCTGCTCGCATGCACAGCGCCCGGCGCTCCAAGTGTGTTGATAGCTGGATGCCTTGCAGGGAAGTGTGAGTCACGGCCATAATCACCTTGGTGTTACAGTTGCCTACAAAGCTGTCTGTTCTGCGCTTTGAGGTTAAAGCAGTTGAAAAAACATTGCCTGAAGCCTGGTTTGGGTTGGTTTTTAACCACTCCAAAAACATGCAGCCCTGAAATTTGTTTTTTTTCCCCCAACAAAAGTCCTCATCCCTTTTTTTCCTCCCAATTAAATTAGATGAAAAATAGAAAAGCTCAATACTTTCATATAGAATCATATTGGCTCTGTATTGCTGGACCTTTTGAGGACTCATGCATTACTAAAAACCATGACAGCTGGGAAAAGCAAGGTCTGCACTTGTTTTAGTTTGGGTGGGGCAACTGCTTTTTTTTCTTTTTTTTTTCCCCTCTAAATCTCATCTGTCAAAGACTTGCCAAAATTTGCAAGAGCACAGAGGGGTTTTTTAATGTTTTTGTTCCTTTTCTGCTGCACTCTCTATATAATCTGGCAACACCTGTTGAATGGGAAATTGGAAAATTTAAACCTAAAGGTAATTTAAAATATTTTATAGAGACCTGGAACAGACTGTAAAAACACTGTAAAGCTGGACCCCCTTTCTGCCCAGCTCTTGTCAAGGGCCAGGCTATCACAGTTTGCTTAGAATTGCTCTAGGTACTGTAATGTCTTTTTAGTACTCAGGGTGCAAACCTCACCAGGGACTGTAAACATATACCAAGAAGGAACAGGCTAAAGTCTCTCCCGGCATGTGCTGTCAGAGAGCCTGAAAGACTGGTAAGACACTTCAACTGTCTATGTAAACACCTTTAAAAGCAGAACTGCCTGACAGTGCAGTGTACCTGTAATGATAAAACATTCAGGTAAACATTCCCCTTTAGAAGAAACAGTTGCATTCACCATTTATCACAACTTTGAGGGCTTGAGCCACTAGCATGAAATTCTGTTTTTGCTAATTCCTTGTGTCAGATATTCAGTTCTATATACCAGAGAGATCCAGAGGACCACCTAAAAAAATAGAATACTAATTTCCAGCATCAAACAATATTATGGATGTAGTGAAAACTCAGCTTATATCATGCAAACTCATCCAAGCCTTCTCTGGTCTGCACCCAAAATACCGAGTATCACTGGAACCGTTAAAGCTCAGGAAGATCTCTTCCCTCAGAAAGAGAACACATGAAGATCAAAAATCTCTCTCAGGCAGTTGATACGAAAGAGCTAAAACTAAACTTATGGGAGTTTTCTTTAGGTGCCTCCTTACAGAGGGTTAGGGAAGAACAGCTTGACATTGATTAATTATGAGGGCCTGAGGAAACATGCAGAGTGCCCCAATGCAGTCTGTGAAGTTCTTGCCTACCCAGATTAAGCCAAGAACCACTTTATAAAAAATAATAAGAAAAAAATCAAAGCCTTTTTAGCATTTGCAATTTGGATTACCGAAGTAAGCCCACACAGCATGTTAGGTGCTTTCCAGGCACTGAAGATGCCACATCTGCCTTGCCAAAAAAGTTTATGGTTTACGTAGTTGCACAAGATGGTGCTTGTTTTGTTCAACAATATTATAATTGTAAAAGTGTGCATTAATTTCCAGAAGGATCTAGGATCATGCCTGTCTAATCAAGGTTCTTTTCATGTGACCAGATAGCACTGCCAGAAAGACTGGATCTCCTGGAGATATTACTGGAGGGCCTCAACTCTCCCTTACAGGATAAGCACTCGCTCCACTGTGGTCCAAGAGCCTCCATCTTTCTTTTGCAGCCCTGACAGCTTTCCAGTAATAATATGGTCATTCTTTACCCATTTTCTGACTGATAAACATTTGCACTATAGAAGCGATCATCAACACGGCTAATATGTCAAATATTAGAGGACAGTCTATGTTGAGCACCTCCCTGCTCCTGCCCAGCACAGGAAGCGCTCCTGCCAGCGTTCTGCCTCTCCAAGGGTGCGACAACCGTCCTCCTTTGCTTGTGTCCTCCGCAAGGCAAAAATACACTAGATGAATGCTGAACTATACTCCTCCTCAGGGAGGATAAAAACAACTCAGAAGCAGATCATAGCAACTGGATCCATCATTGTAGCAGCTAGAACTACAATTTGAGTTACTTGTTCGCTGTATTCTATTCTAATCTCTAGCTAGCAGGTACCCCTTTCCAAGGGAAATCACCTCAGTGTTTACAGGAGTCACTGCTGGCCCAGGCAGGTGGCCGAAAGTGATGTGCACTGGGTGCCCCCAAGTCCAACTATTGACCTTCATCAAACAACCAAGGCAGTAGTATGAATCACTTGTCCCTTCAGTGCTAGGTGGAAGAAGGATGAGAAAGTATTTTGCCTTTAACACACAACGTCCCATCACAATGGCCCTTGAAACTAGGCTCAAAGATTGATGTCCTAAGAGCCTCAGGACTTGCAAACAGACTGTGCTAACAATAGAAATCAACTTTGTGAAGCACTTGGTGCTGTACAAACAAATACACATGATAGTCCTGGACTCAGGAAAAGTAATCCTGCAAGCATGCAGGTAGCAGCACTGGGTTTCCCAGTTTCATCTAGAAAGAAGAGACCATCTTCCTAGTTCCAAGATATCTTTTAGTCTCTTCTTGATAGCTGTATTCTCATTTCCTTCAGAGCAGACTGCATCTAAAACAATGGGACTAGAAATGGCAACATTTGGTTGTCAGTCGAGTCCTTTTCTTTACTCTCCAACGCAGAAAAACTGTTAAAAGTAGAACTATTAAAATAAATGCAAAAACTGTCACAAAGATACTGGAACCAGTTTTTCAGGGAAATGTTACAAATTCTACTATAATGCAAATATATATTATAGCAGAAGGTATATTAAGGTATTTTACACAGCTGCTAAACCAATCAGTTCAAGTGTCCCAGCCTTAAAGAGCATGGGGTCTAATGAGCATCCCTTCCCCTCAAACTCTGTATCTGCATAAGAACATAAGCCCCCTCCTTTAGTAAATACATTTACACAGGTGTTTGCAGCACTCGCTTCCCAAACTACTTTTTGCTTCTTCAGACTTGAAAAGAAAAAGGAAAGATAAGAGGTCAGAATGAAGTTAACTTTGCCAACAAAGCATATCTGTTCTTTTTCTCCACACCTCAACACCACTGCTGACAAACAACAAACACTGATTAAAGGGGTTTTAATGCCTGTGAAGGAAAGCAGACTCCCTGCAGCTGCACAGCAGCTGGGAACACTTGTGTTATTTAGCAGAGAAAGGTCTGACCTCACAAGTGAAAATGAGCTTGGTGGTCATTCATTCTATTCACCATCTGGGTACATTATAGGCACAAACAGAACAGCACAGCTCTTTGTGAGGGGGGCAACACGAAGTGGCCAAGGCACTGCACTTCCAAAATGCTCTGGCCAAACTTAGGGAGAAGAGGCAGCAAGGCCCACAAGTGATATGAATTCAAGAAATGGGAAGAAGTCTATTAAGAAACAAAACTGAAAGACAGGGGTCCACTGCAGATCACAGCAGAGGTGCCTCGGCTATTTTACAGCTTCACTTCGGGTTAGTAGGGCAAGCTGCTGCCTAACAAAACCGGGGGAAGAGCATGCACAATGCCTCATTCCT